GGCTGTGTCTTAAACAAATAAGTACAGGATTGGGAAACAAATTAAGAGCAATGGTAAATAGCATAGGATTTTACTTAACAATAACACATAGCATGTTTATAAATATATAAATAAAATATTTATAAATAACCATAGGATTTCCTTCAAGCAGTCTTGAATATTCTTATGCTTCAAGAAGCTTTCAGTGGAATCACTATAATGGATAAGATACAGTGTTTCCACTTATTTCTGCTGTAGTTTTGACAGAGATGCTCAATTTCAAGCTCTTTCAGTAACAAAGTGTTTCCAAGATGTGTATGTTTGTCAGTAAAATAGTCCCTGAAGGGTAAACTATATATTTTTAGCAGTTCCAGTTATTTAAATAACATAATACTTCTTTAAATTGGTAAAATATTGGTGTTTTTTCTTTCTGTTAACTCTAGATCACTGTTTCTCAACCATGTTTTTGAAGGACCACCAACACTGCATGTTTTGGATGTCTTCTTTGTCTGTCACACCCATTACAGGTCTTTCAGTCTATGCTAATGAGCTGATGATCTGAATCAGGTGTGTTTGGATGAGAAGGCATGGGAATATGCAGAGCTGGCGGTCCTCCGGGAACGTGGTTGAGAAACACTGCCCTAGATGATTGTATGTAAAGTTAGGGTGCATGGATATATACATTTTAGCCAATACCAATAACTCTTTATGTTTGGAATATGTATACTCTATATATGTATATACTGTAGACCAGTGATCACCAAACTTGTTCTTGGAGGGCCGGTGTCCTGCAGATTTTAGCTCCAACCCTAATCAAACACACCTGAACAAGCTAATCAAGGTCTTACTAGGTATACTTGAAACACCCAGGCAGGTGTGTTGAGGCAAGTTAGAGCTAAACCCTGCAGGGCACCAGACCTCCAGGAACATATTGGTAACCCCTGCTTTAGACTGATGAATACAGTAAATGCATGGTATTTTAACTCTGATTACTAAAACAAAGGCAAAACTGCAAGGAAACATTTAGATCTTTGTTTTTCATAAATCATTTTCAAATTGCAATTGTAAAGTCATTTCTGTGTCCCACAATGGAAAGCCCAAAACTAACTGCTGACATCTAACTCTGCTAAAGCATATATTAAAATGTGGAAGGCACCGCCAATCAAACCCCTCGTAGCCAGCACATTCTTAACAAGCGTTTAAACAAGCTAAAATAATCCATAATAATTTATCAGCTTTAGTATAGCAATCCAATTTTCTGATTAGGTGGAAAACAATGACATTTTTAAAAAATTATTTACAATATTGAGATATTGTGCATTACAAGTGAAGTAATTGAGCAGTTTCTGAAATACTCAGTCCAGCCCATCTTACATAAACTCTTCACTATACTTGAAACACATTTCATCCCCATTTTGGTGCTTGTTTTGAAATTCAGCATAACTTTATGTATATTCAGCATGTCTGCAAGACGTAATTTAAAAATTGTCTAGTCTGAAAAAAGGTCTGAAGTAGGTCTGCTAAAAGAACATTCTACATTTTTAAACATCTTAAAGACATCTGAAAATTGACTTGTGTAGATGAACAAACACTAACAAATATGTCTCATTCACTTTCCTTTAGCTTAGTCTCTGGTGATTTATCAAGGGTTGCCACAGCAAAATGAACCGCCAATTGCTCTGGCATATGTTTTATGTGCCGGATGCCCTTCCAGCTGCAACCCAGTGCTAAGAGTACATATGTATCTTCCAGATGTAAACACAAACACCAAACAGACATCTCTGCAATATGTGCTATCAGGGGTCTTGACTACTGTACATGTTTAAATCCATTAGATGGGTGCACACACACACATTTTTTTGGTGGTTTATGAGGACTCTCCAATGTATTTTATACTTTTAAAACTGCCATTTTATTACCCTAAACTCAACCTTCACGGCAAACCTGATTTTTAATTTTTTTTTGTTTTGAATTACGAGGACACATGACATGTCCTCATAAAACATTCTCAATATTGTAACAGGCTACTTGCTGTGTAGGTCATACACATGTAATTATAAAAAAAAATTGTAAACCAGCACACACAGACACAAATTTTCACTTGATTTTCACTTGTGATGCACAATATTGTGAAAGCAGCAATACTGTCAATAATTATTCATTGTTTTTGTCCTAATGCGAAAATTAGCTTGCGATATTAAGGTTAAATATGAATAAATATGTATTTTTTCAGCCTGTTTGAACACTTCAAATGTGTGCTGCTGGTCGTAAGAGTTTTGACCGTTACATTGTTATGTACAGGAACATATTATTAGACCTATATAAAAAGTACAAGTAGGAGACAGGCTATTTAGATTACAATAATACCATGGGATTTGTCTAAACAGTTTAGGTTTGTGTGAAACCAATTACCCAGCTATAGTAATCATAAGTGTAGCATGTTTTGGCTAAAATATTGTGATTATGGTGGATTTGTAAGGTTGGGGTGGAAAAAGAAAGCATGACAGACAACTTAAAATCGAATTGGATTGGAAGAGAGAGAGGGAGAGAGAGAGAGAGAGAGAGAGAGAGAGGGAGGTGGGGGTGGAGGAGGAGGACTGACTGCCCTTCATCTGTCTGCTCTAGGCGGAGCTGAAGTTACCGAGAGCGGCCGCGGGAGCTCGACACGATCCGCGGGGCGATAATCAACCACAACGGGGAGAAAAGCGCTTATTTAACCGAACAGACCCTGACCGACCGGCAATCAGTTTAACGACCATCACACAGTCTACCGACAGTCGCCGCGTTGTTCATTACAGGCCTCCGTCGCTTTGGATCGGACTCAATGTCGCTCCTGTTCGGCCGCTTGAGCTCGACGCCTTCTGCCGCAGGTTTACTTCATTTCAGAGACATCATTTAAGGGATAATGCAGGAATAAAACCGGGCACAGTCGGGAAATGTCGGACATGTCGTCAGCTCGTGAAGCTAAACATCGACTGAAGCGGACTGACACCAAGAAACCTGACCCATATTGAGATCCTGAGCTCGAGCATCTGGACCAGAACCAAATATTACATCGAAACTAAATCTTGTTTATAAACACAGACGACAACCGAGAGACGCCACACAGCAGGTTTTGAGACCTTTAGTTTTATTTTAAGATATGCGAGGAAGTGTATTATACATATTAAATGAAGTATAATCGCTCAAACTCCCAACCAGCATGGAGAAAATGCGTTTATAAGCTGTTTATCGAAACCAAAGGCATCTAAAATCATGCGCTGCCTCCAAATCTTCATCTGCACTAACGTTAGTCATTTCGGATTGTTTGCTCCGTGCACATGAGCTTGAACTTCGGTCGATAGAAAGAAGAAAGGGGGAACAGAAAATCTAGTTACTGGAACTTTTTTTTGGAGCTGAATCCATCCAGAAGCGGCAGCAGGATGAGAGTGCGGATCCTAAACCGGACATCAGTACTGTCACTCGGGCTCTGCTCACTGCTTCTGCTCAGTGCTGTGGCCGGTAAATATACCCCAGATCTACATTTGAACTATTTAAGTGCTGTGTGTATCCACATTACAGAGTGCATGTTACATTATTTTGGGCTTAAGTGTGAGTTGTTCGTTGGTATCCCTCAGCGCTGCGGCATGCACACTGTAATGCAAAGTGAACTGAAACGTTTTGCAGCACAAATATGAATGGGATTTGCTTCGTATTGCTTTTCTGTGTTAGTCCTGCAATGTCTTAAAGGGTGTCCTCTTTATGTTAGTCCTGTTAAACCAAAGTGTATTTACTTTGGAGTTGTTTACTACACAAGTAGATGCTTTTATTAGTGGTACTTGGAAAGATTGAGGTAAAGTTGGTTTTACATTGGTACATTAGTTCAGTGACAGCTTGTCACTTGCTCCCTATATTGTTTACCATAGTTTTTGAATATTTAGCCTGAAATCACATGTAAGTCAAAGCATTAGCACTATTTATTTGACTGTGTTGTACGTAGACATTCATTGTCTGCTCATATGATTTCACAATTTGCAAAGAATACTTTTCTGAAATTATATTATGAAGCAGAAAGTCTGAATGTTTGAATATAAAAACAACTTGACCTCAGTCTTGGGAAGAAAGATACAACTAGGCTGTCACTGCACAGTATTTCTGCATACTTGGTCAAGTTCTGTTATTACATTTCAGGTTTTGTGATGGCTTGGTTCAAACAACAACAACAACAACAAAATAACATTTGCTGCTAATTTACTCAACCTCATGCCATCTGAGATATAAAGGACGTTTCTTCAGTAGAACATTAAAGAGGATTTTTAACTGACTGGCCTTGAGTGCATTTTTACGACAGTCTGTAGCATGAGCTTCCTGTCAAACATCATTAGCTCACACACTCCTCGCTGTTGTGAACGTGCTCAAGATGGTTTTTGAGGCTGTGGATTAAAGACAATAATATTGTAATTAGCATTCTGTTTCTTGGACAGACCAATCAGTTGTATTGTCAGGAGCCACTGTTATTCGTTTTGATAACAATTTCTGAAGTGCTGGTAGCTGTTGACTTGCATTATTTAACCAAAAGGATCACAGTTTAATCTAAAAAGCCCAAAAAGTTGAAAGTTGAAGCCTTGGATGGCTTGAGGGTGAGTACATTTACAGAAATTTCCATTTTAGGGTGAACTATCCCTTTAATTAGTGTGTGCAGTCTTTACTTTAGTACTGTGGGAGTCTGCATTTCCCCAAAACTGTTGAAGTAGATCTTATCATTGGTTCTTTAGTTCAGTGATGGTGTCAGATGTTATTACCTTATTATACCACTGTTATGGCACATGATGTCCTAATAATTTTGATATTTACTTGATATTTTTTGTGTTTTGGTGGTTTGTATTTGAATGCAACAAATGAATTGACGAAATGTATTCTGGTTTATTAATCCAGACATGATTAATTCCAGTCATTTCCATCATCTGTGGTTTGATATGTGGATGCAAGTTAAATTATTTTAGTTTTAGTTAATTTAAACTAACAATATTTGACTTTGCATTGGTCATTATGTACAGAAGCAGGTGCTTCTTGGCATATTTGTAAAGAAACATTTAGTTTTTTTTTGGTTTCAGTTGGTTGGTTTCAGAATGCAAAATTACAAAATAGACTTTGCTTTTACATTTTTTTTATTTAAATGTTGGCAGCTATAAGGAGTGCACAAGGTTCAAAACAAGGCTGAGCATAAATCACACACAGACTGGGGAACATTCAGAGAGGGTGTTTTGATGTCTGTTTTTTCTCTCTTGCTTTTATATATATCAGATTGACCATGCTGTGTGTCAGCCACAGCCATTAGAGCCTGTTTACCCTGTTGTTATGGATATGCAGTTAGTCATCACATCACAAGCATGTGATCTTGTACCATCGATTGTTTTAAGTCCCCTGAAAAGTCCCTACCTCTGGAATGTGATGGATGGACATATTTCCCCAAGATGTTTGCAAGAATTAATTTCAATTCAAGTGTTTGTATTAATTAAGCAGCAATTACACACATGCGTTTTGTGGGGTAACCTGTAAAAAAAAACATTCATTTTGTGCCAACATAAATCAATTAAGTTAACTTAACAAATTAAAGTGGATTGTAGATAAACCAATTAAGTTGCCCCCCTAAAAGATCTCATAAGTTGTGTTATTTTAGCTTGTTTTAAATTAGCAGTTTGAAAATAATTTTTGAGTGTAGTAGTTTGTGTTTCATGTGACCCAACGGCACCGCTGATAGTTGGGAACGTATTTTGGTTAAAGCCTTGACCTCGATGAGATAACAGTCTCTGCCTTGTACAATAGACTAGGCTGCAGATGGAAGGAGAAGCATATCACGCATATCATTGTCAGTTGTGCACCATTTCTTTAAAGCTGTTTATAATGTTTTACTCCTTAAGAAATTAAAACATTTGACAAACATATTTAAAATGTTGCATTAGAAGAAAACTCATGTTGCTTAGAAAAAAACTAGATGTCCTAGGGAGGGTTGCCATGTTGGGATCACACAACCAATGGTGTCATACAATTTTAAAGTTTGCTTGTTTAATAATAACAACATTACATTTCGTTTATGTTTTTTAAATGTATTTTTGCTCAAATAAATGCAGCCTAGGTGAGCATACGAGACTCAAATACAGAATCTTATAAAAAATGGGACTTTGATCTTTGCTCGAAAAACTTTTAATGTTGAAAAAGTTTGCAAAGTGATTTTTATTGGCAGTTTTAGTGGTTTGAAAAGAGATATTGTCTGGGTTGGGCGTGTACGTTATGGTACAAAAACTTAGGTAATTGTAATGAACTGCCAGTCCTTTTTTTGTTTGATCACAGATTATATATACAGTGTGTACATTGTATAGGAAATAGGAAATGTTTATTATACAGTATATTTGTATATTGTTGCTTGATTTTCTTTTTCAGAAAAGCATTTGAGAGTTTCCTTGGCTATTTTTTGGATCATTGTCTTGCTGAAATGTTCACTCTGGTTTCATCTTTGTCATCCTCATAATGCAAATGTTGGACTGAAGCAGCTGATATTCATTTACAGTTTAGGAGGTTTAGAGTGTTGCTGAATAACTACTGAGAGATTTCAGCTGCTGTCTGGGCTTTCACTGCCTTTCTACACCTCCCTTTCTTCATATGTTTTTTCCTGTGTCATTTCATTTTATTACGCATAACTTCGTTTGTAAACAAATTAGATTTGTTTTCTTCTCATATATGTATTTCTTTGGTTGTTATAAACATCTGGTGAAAATTTCAAGTCAACGGCACCTTTAGAAATATGTTTTCTGAGAAAAACGATGACGTCTTGATTAATTATTTCCCCCACTGTGTATATATGCAAAAGTGCATCCACAAATAACTTTCAATATATTAATCCAGGTCATTTCTGGTCACAAAAGAACTTGCCATTGCTTTCTGAGAAATGGAAAAGCTAAATTCAGAGACTGTTTTTGCAGTTAATCATTATGAGTCATAGCTTTAGCTTTGATTTTCAATTTCATATAGTTAATTCCACATGGCACACCAATACATTAGAGCAGTGGTTCTCAAAGTGGGGGTCGGGACCCCCTGGGGGGTCGCGGGACAATGAGAGGGGGTCGCTTGGTGATTTACAAAAATCTAATAAATTTGAATAAACTTTTATGATTACCATTGTTAATCCATAACCTACAGAAGATAAAAAAATAGTTACACAAAAAAATACATTATCCAAACAAAAAGCCATCAGCCTTTGTTTTTTTTGTTGTTGTTTTTTACATTGGTTGCAACATTAGATTAATGACAAAGCAACAGCGTCAGTGCACCAGATTTTACAGCACTAGCTAAACTTTCTGACACCGTTAAAGCACTCACGTACATTTAAAATACATACAGGACACTAAACATGGAGTATGATGTGTAAGTGGCAGTCTCCAAAATTAAACCAAGAAAAGACTTGGGATGTAACTTAAATATTGTGCCCACCAGTCTAATTAGATGAGGTTAATATAAAATAATAATAATAAAAATGATATGGGACTGTTGCACTTTTTTTGTGTTGTCAATATGCTTGTGTTTATATAGGCTGATTGGTTTGTGTGAGTGTTGTGTGCAACGTTTGTATGATTATTACCACTTACGAAAATAGTGGGGGTCGCGAGTCATTGGCATTGTTATTTTGGGGGTCCCGGGCTGAAAAGTTTGAGAACCCCTGCATTAGAGGAACGTTTCTATGACTAATCCAATAACTATTTTTCCTATACTGTTTAGCAGAAGGAAGGATTTGCTTTTTGGGGTGTTCACACAGAATGAACTAGAAATAAAAATGTTATATGAACACTTTTGGGAGGAGAATGAAACTTTTTATTTCAGGGTCTGGTCTAACCCAACATAACAGGATCTATTAATGATGTAAATGTATTGCTGAAATGCAATACACATTCGTATAAAACACCAGCAGAGCATTTTACAGGATTACAAGATGAACACATAAAGTTTCTTCATCTAAGAGGCCCTGCTGATGATATGTACTAACATGTCAAGTTGTGTTTGCGGATTTTGTCCCCTAGTCCTCCTTTTTGCTCATTTAATTGCATAACATCCACATCACACAACAACAACAACAAATAATACAGGACTATTCCTGCCACAGCATACTCAAGTTTAAGATAATGCTAAATAATATGCTTGGCGTCTATTCAGAATTCCTGCATGCTTGAGCTATGAATACAACTAAAAAAGTCTTGGAGGAACCTGGTGGCTTGTTCCTATAACTAAGTTCTTATAACCACCAGCCTGAAAGGCCCCGTGTAGTCAATCTCTAGAACAAAAACTTGTTGACAAATTCCATTAAGCTGATCCTCAATGCCCTGCGAGGAATGCGATTTCAGCTTTGTGGTTGTAACTACGGAGGTAAGACCACACGATGAGGTTACAGTGGAGACAGACATGGTAATTAAAAGTGTGGTCTTGCCTAGCCATGCTGGTGAACCGGTTCGAGGGCTCATCACAGGCTCATT